GACGCAAAAAGATACCCGAACCGGAAGTACTCTAAAAGGTCACATAATAACGGCGGGAGAACTGTATCCGAATTCAAGAAGGTCAATAGAAATGTCTCTGGCGAGTCTGAAAGCGGTGATGATGAAAGGAAAGCAGATGGGAATATTTCTAGTGATGAGGAAAATGACAGTGATTGTGATGTGAATAGCTTGAATTCTAAACCCAATGTCTTCGATGAGTCGGGAGATATCGTCGAGGATGAAATTAATTGTAATTCCAATGATGAACATGTCAATCTAGTCCTTGACCCTTCTGTGGATCACTTGAACTCTCATGATTCTTGCATGGATCTTTCTGATGATCCAAGAAAGTATGACAGCGATTCTGATGAGGAGAATGATATTTTCGGATATCAGAATGTCAATCCAGTGCCGAAGCCATCAAATCGTGTCTCGAATGATCATAGTTCACAGATCGATCTTCGTGATGTTCTTGGAGAAAAGGGCTCGAGAAAGCCTGAAAGCGATTCTGAAGAAGTGTCCGATGTTTCCACAGGACAACATGTGAAACCAATGTCTCTCAAAGAAAAGTTTCCGATTGGATACATGCATCGACTTTCGGATGATTCAGACGACAGTGAGACAAAGTGAGCGACTCATTTAAATGTTCAATCAGCTCATTAATATATTACAGAGACACCGAAACAACACCCGAAGACTGTCCATCACCGCCTAGAAAGAAGTCAAAGAGAAATTCAGGTCCTCCTTCCCGCTACCAAGCTTCCTTCAAATAAACCCCAATTGGCTTCAATTTTTTTTCTCATCTTAAGGTCATTCTTAATTGTCTAATCCTTTTTTTTTGTTTTTGCATTCTTTGTTGTTGCTGTTGTGTTGTTCAACTATGAATTGTTGCCACATAAAATTGTTCTGTTTTGTCTTTAAAACATTGAAAAAAAATTGAATCCGAATTATCAAAATTATTTAAAAAATAAGAAAAATTTCAATTACCACGAAAATTGAGAAAAGTTGAGAAAAAATGGAAAATGGAGAAAAACCGAAATATTGCGAAAAAACGGAAAATTGGGAAGAACGGAGGAATATGGAAAAAAGGAAGATGAGAAAAATTCAGAAGTTCCAAAATTCGTAGATTCTGAAATTTCAAAATTCTGAAGTTCTGAAACTCTGATGTTTTCG